AATTGTTTTGTCCCCTCAGGAACCAACTTTTTTTTTTTTATAGGAAATGTGACTTGATTCGTGTACTTGCTAAATTTTAGCATAGTTTGGCTGGTTGTGGCTTACTGTATTGCAGGTACTGAGGTATTATGACTTGTAAAACATGATTTGTGGTTTAGCATTGTGCTGGAATCTAGGCAATTACTGCTTTTTAGCAACAAATTATGTTAAAATTTGGTCTGGTTTTTCATAATTTGTGACTCCTGGTGTTAGGATATATATTTCAAATCCCATGAATCCCAGCATGCATTGCCTAACTGGAGAGGTATATATGAAGGAATTTTGGATTTTATTTCACAGTATTGATCTAAGTGTTTGATTTAAGAACTACTTGAACTGAAACCAGTTTGAAACCACTGTTTTGACATAAATATGATAGATTTCCTAAATCTGAACATTTTTGGTGACTACTTTGGTCCCTTTGCAGAATAATATTTCTTGTCCCAATCATTTATGAGTACGAAGCTGATACTAAAGCATAGCAATTACATATTAGATGGGGCACCTAACTGAATCTTTTTCTCCTCTCCTTTTGTACATAGTCAAATGTGTGCAGTCCTGAAATTGATTGTCCACTGGGATTCTTCTGTGACCTCCACTTTGAGATCTGCCTGCCACTTAAGCGAGAGGGAGAATTCTGTCGCCAAGATACCCATTGCGCCAGCAATTTGACTTGTATGTTTGGGAAATGCCTCCAGACTGCACCTGGGGGTCAGGAAGGTAAGCCATAGAAGGGTGGGCTATTCATCAGAGGTAGAGGAAGACTAAAGAGCCTAGGCTAAAATGTATAAAATGAATAGCTTGTTACTGTAAGATGTTAAGAGAGCTATTCTTAGAACCATCCTCTTTTTTAAAACGTTTCTGACCTGGAACTTTTCAGTGGTATTGGGACTGTAGTTCCCAAGTTCTCCTTCCCATAAATGTTAATGGTCAACTTGCTTTTCAAATCAGCTTGCTTTTTTTTTCTTATGTCAGTTTGCTATAAACTTCTGCTGTGATGCTAATAAGCACTGGGCTAAGGAGCCATCATATAGTCTGCTTATTTATGCATTAGTTGATTGGGTCAACTTAATCGTGTTTACTACAGTAAATCATATTTAGACAAATTATTAAGAAACAGAAATCGAGGATTATAGATAAAATAATTTATAAAGGTAAAGAAGTCTACCAAGGTAAGCAAGATGCTTCTTAAGGACTACCCACTTGTTCACACTTTGCTTTTTCATTTTCTTTTATGTAGCCTTCCTTAATCTCCCATGCCCAGCAATCATAGACATCAGGTTAAAGAGGGCTGGTCTAAATATGTCTTTTTATTATTTGAGGTGCTAAGCAGGCCTCTTATTTCGATTCTTATCTTGATAAGAATTCTTGCACTCTTTAGTTTTCACTTTTAAAATTTTTTTATCCATGCTTAAATCGTGCCAATATTTAAACTATTTTGGTTTGAAACCATTGCTGAAATCAACTTCACTGAATTTACAGTACACTAAACATGTCCAATATACAATGGGTTCAAAATCCTTTTCTCTCCCCCCTTGCCCCAGTTCAGCTGGGTTCCCACATTTATGCCTTCTTGCTTGCCCCTCGTAGGTGCCCGCTGTCATCACAACGAAGAGTGTTCTCCAGGCTTCTGCTGTGCCCGTCTCCATGGGGAAATGGTTTGCAAGAAAAGGCTACTTTTAGATGAGAGGTGCCATGTCCCCCAAGGAGGGATTTCATTCAGCATGAACCAGGTGTGCCCCTGTTTAGAAGGACTGGTGTGTAGACGGATGCTGCCCAAACGAGAGTAAGTATTGTGTCTCTTGGGAATAGACATTAAGAGACTGTCTTAATGCAGCAGAGATTATTAGTAAGAGAATTCTAGGCTCTCACAATGGGCCACCCCAAAGACCTTAGTGACCCCCCTGATATCTGCTGCCCACATATTTCCCTTTAACACAACTTAGTGGCTTGTGGCATTCAAAGGATGATGAGCAATTGCAGTACATCTCTTCCCCAGCTAGCTTCAAGGCAAGGGATGATGGGAAACGAAATCTAAAACCAATGGCAAACACAAGTTTGCCCATATTATATTCGATCAGACATAACTGCAGGGACTATTTAGGTTTATTCCTTGTGACCATTTTTATTTACTGGCAGTTGAAATCTTATTTTTAAAAAGTTCCTCTTTTTCTCTTTTTGCAGGAAACCTTTTGAGTACGAGGTGAAAAAGGATGAATGGAGGTGCCAAAAAAAATAGATAACTATGAAACAGTTTTTCAAATACTGGTAGCTGTATTTATACCATGTAAATAGTATTGTCTACCATCTATTTTGATTGTATATTTGCAAATATCTGAGATTTGTAACCAATTCATGAAAATATGAAATTAAAAATAATAAATGGATTGATGTCAATGGTGAAAACTTTTGTTGGGATCAAGGACTGTTTTTTTCTATGTATATAGGTCTCCAAGAGAATATCCAAAGACACACTATTAACGGTGGGGTTGAACAATTCTGGCTCTGTGGGTGTGAGTGTCTGTCCATGTATATATGCATGTGCCTTTTATTCATCAAACAGTACTGTAAACATTGTACCTCTGAAAATCAGTGGTACCATCCAAAGTATCTGGAGGAGTGGAATGTACATAGCCTATTGACTGTAGGTTACCCTCTCCTGCATGGCTGGCTGGGGAATTTTGGGAGTTGAAGTCCACACATCTTCAAGCTGCCAAGATTAAAAAACACTGGTCTACTCTCTACCATATTAGGGCTTCTGGCATCTCTTTGGAGAGCAAAAAGATCAGTTAACCCTGGCATGGACAGCAATATTCACTAGATGTGACCCCCTGCAGACCCAATTCAGAATAAGCAGATCTCCCCCCCCCCCCCGATTTATGCTGGTATTATGTATCAACCTGCATATCCTCTCCTTGAAAATGACCTGTATTTAAGGAGATACAAGGTGGCTTTTTATCTATTATATATTGGAGATACTATCTTTCATTTAAGTGCTATTTTATCATCTAAGTTTTTGTATGTTATTTTAAATAGCTCTCTTTCAATCTGTTGACTTCCTATGTCTTGGATAACAAATAATATCCAGCTAATGTGGCTTTTTATTATAACAGTTAAGGCTCGTTATATGTGGAGAGGATGCAATTTATTATTTTAAAATATGAACAACCATTCTTAACAACTAGTAACTTGAAAACAAAACAAATGAAACACATGTTGTTCAATCACTCCTTTTAAAGAAGAACATTCTTATCTCACATGAAAAACTAATATAATTCACAGAAAAATCTTCCACCTGTCTTTCAATACAATGCGACAAATACCCCTAAAATGCCGGCAACAAACAAACTAAAGAGATGGGGATATAGCACAGTAGGAGAGCATTTGACTGCACATCAAGATGTCCCTGGTTCCAACTCAGGTGCCCCTTTTTTTCATTTTAAGAAATGTAATTTCTCAGGTAAAAAAGGGACCTATTTCTATTCCCAAAACAAACATTTTGCATACTACAAACATAACTGTTAACTCCCTTCAGAGATGTGAATCAGACAGGACATATCATTGCTTAATTTTAAAAGTTCAGATTCTAAGTAACAGGCTGAAATGATAGGATGACTTAAGTGGGATCATAGGGCTTCACCTTCCACCCCAAGATATATTATTTTCAATAATATGTTCAATTTCCTAAAAAATATATCCATGCTGTCTTTAAGTACCGATCACCTTACTGCAAAGCATTTAATCAGACAACAAAAAGCTTTTGCTGAAAATTATATTACAACAGCACCAGGAACAAAGAAGCAATGAGCTTCAAATTCAGAATTTCAGCCACGTATATCCATTGAATAGCAAACTTGCATTTATAAGCTAATCCCTCTCAGTCTTCAAAAATCAGACATTTACAATTCTATAATCAATAGAATTAACCAAGTCTAAGGCAGTCAAATCAAAATGACTTGGTCTTTTTAGGTTTTAAAAACTGCAATGTAAGTTTTGGAAAATAAAGTTATGTTTCTTACAAGGACAAGGTCTTTATATCTTGCAACTTGGCCAATAAATGTGGATTGTGTGAAGATAGCCCTAGTCGTTAAACAAAATAGTCTATCTAGGGCATCTGCAATTAGATATCTCCCCTGGATTACAGGGAATGGAATGCTGGTTTTCAGATTATTTAGATCACTCCCCCACTTTCAATAGCCCTCCTCAAAGTAGCACATGCTACCGGTATTAGGCATGTGAAAGTAGTCATAAAACATTAGGAAAGGGCCAATATACTTCCCACTACAATATTGACAGGAAGTGTTAGATCTCCCCATTTTCCTGCCCCTCCCAGCCCAACCTACTTCTGCTTTAAGAGAAAGCAATTGCAGGGGAAGAAATAATACAATAAATCAAGGTAGGAAAAGATTCTTGGATTCTCAGAAACCTTTTCGCTAATGCACTTGGTAATCTTCAGATCTGTTTTTGGACAGAGACATTTCACAAATCCTTGGTTGGAGTCCCAAGCATTAAAGTCCCCAAATAGGCAGACTCAGCACCCTGACCTATAGCTTATTTAACAATGTTTTATTCAATTAGCCCTATTGCCTGGATCCAGACTGCAAAGCACTGAACCATAAGCTAACTACCCTGATGATTAGACTCTTTCACACTAACATGTTAATGTCTCTTCCTCTAGTTTTTGAGTCAGAAGAAAGATATGCAAGCGTATGTGCACTTCCCTGATAGCCAAGAACAATTTGCATCAGTAACTAGACTTACAAGTGAACCTATCCATATCAACTTACTGTGGGAAAAATTAAGGAAAGCAACCACTCGATTCCTGTGGCTTTGTTTCCCACTCATCCAAGTTACCAGCCAATGGGGAACCATCACCTGTGACACATTGTAGACTGTGGGACCAAAACTTTATCCATCTTCTAAAATGATTCAGTGACAAGTTGCTGGAGCAAAGATGCTCCAGATTGGTAGTGCCACATAGGCCATTTCTGAACTTGGGCTACTGGTTTCCCAGAAGACTAATAAATCTGGGTAAATAACCCAGCTCAGTTGACAAGTCAGTGAGGCAGACATGGATTGTGGGGTGAAGTAAGAGGAAACTCATATGGTCATGATGGAGAAAATGGGACCATCTCCAGTGGCAGCTGTCCATTCTAAAATTAGCCTCAAAAGCTGCTCTAGCATCCCAAAAGCAGCTCTTCCTGACCCTTTTCAAACACCGTCAGTTCTACTCCCAAGCCTGCCAAGCACCCGTTTGTCTCCCTCCCTCCCTCCTGCTCCCCCCCCCCGGAGCGGGAACTTCTCCGGAGGTCCTCGGAGTAAGAAAATGTATCCCACGGTGCCAGCCCTGTATTGTCCCCAGGTCTTCCTGCCCGATTTCTATCCCCTGTTTGCACCGCGCATTCTGACGTCACTCAAGGGTTCCGCGGAGTCCCTCTAGTCCCCCTCGAGAGAGTTTTCCAGCGAGAAGGAGGAGCTCGACGGGGGAGGACTCAGCTTCTGACGCGCCACCTGCGGAGTCTATAAAGAGGGGCGGGGGCGAAGGCGTTTGCTTAGGAAGCTGCGAAGCTCGTGATGGGTCAGTTTTTCGCTAAACTCCTGAACATTTTTGGAAGTCGCGGTAAGAAGTCTTCGAGTTGGGCGCGCCCGCATTTCCTCCTTTCTTATGACATAATTCCCGGAATGCTAAGTGTGGCTGTCAATCAGATCGTGTTTACCTTCTCTAGGTTGCTGTCCACCAACTTTCCCCTACTTTTCTCTCTTTCTCCTTAAATCCCAGTTTTACTTTGTTTCTTGTTTTGCACCGACCATGCCTTCATGCACTGCTCTCTTGCCTCTAATTTCTTTTGTTTCTCTTTTGTCTTTCATTTTTTAAATTCATTTATTGTCTTTCTTTTCATATTCGATTCCTTTTTTTCATTCTATTTTTTCCCTTTTCTCCCTTTCATTTTGCCCCGGCAGCATTTTCACTTGATTCCCAAACTTTTCTTCTTTTATATCTTTTTTCATTTTTTCTCTCTCCCTTTCTCTCTTTTTACATATTTTCCTTTTTTCACTCTAGTGTTTCTAAAGTTACTATTTTATACTTGTCCCTATCCCCTTTCATCTTTTATTATTCTATTTGGAATTGTGCTTCCTTTGCTTTTAGTGATTTCACTCCCCCTTTTTTCTTACAATTTTTCTGTTTTTATTTCCTTTTTTGTTCTTTTAATTTCTTTTTTCTTTCAAGAACTTTAGTGCCATGTTGTAGGGTCAAATTTGGGGTGTGGAGCCTGACCTTTTCAGCTTATCAACTAGTAGCTGGTGAGGAAATCTTTTGTGCAGATAACCAGAATTTGCAGTTGTTGTGTGAGCACACAGTCTGTAGATACAGCATTTGTGTACATGTGTGCTTTAGAATGACAGGAAAGAGAGATGGTGTCTGTTGAGGAGGACTGAAACAATCAGGGAAGGCAAATGATGGCTGTTCATGAAAGTTTTTTTGGGAAAGGACTAAAGCAGTAGTGAATTCTAATGCTTCTCTTACTACAGTGTCTATAATAGGACATTTGTGTTTTAATTTGCAATGATCTTTCATTTTAAATAGGGCATCAAAGATGATGTAGAAAGTCAATCTGAAGAGTGTCTTCTGTGTGCACGTGCTTGGTGAAGTAAGTGAACTATCAGTATTAGTTATTTCAGGGAGTGCTAATAAAGACAAAAGGCAGTGCCTGGATACCTGATGTTGAAGGGCAAGCAGTGTGTGCTTGGGTGTGAGAATAAATGAATGAGGGGGATGTGTGTGCATAAAAATAGGAGAGTGATGGAAAAGTCAGGCTGTAAAGCAGCAACAGATGAGAACAAAATGTTAAAAGCAGAGGAAATTAAAGCGGGCAATAGCAGAAAACTTAAAACTGCTATAATATTTAAAGGAATCGGCTAAGGGATAAATCTTTTAATCCTTATGGTTTACACTTTTTGTTTATAATTTCTATTATATACTGGTATCTGAGACAGTAACAATTTGGTCATTGCAAATATTTTCTATAAATTGGTCAAAATTTGCCCCTTCCATTGTTCTCTGAGAGTCTGGGAATTGCAAAAGTTTTTCAGTGGGTGGGAATATTGGGAATGTTTATGTGGAACTTCTGCCTTTTTTTGGCATGATTTGTTTGCTTAGGCAAATATTTGGTAGAATAGTTTCCATCCTTTGTTCTAACTCTTATATGTTCTAAGCAAAATATTTTACATTCCTTGAAGTCTGGAACTATATATAGCCACTTATATATATATATCCTGGTTTCACACTCCTTAACATTGCTGAAATACATATTATGGGTTTCTTTCTTGGTCTTAGAGTTTTGCCTCTAGAAAGAAAGAAAGTCACACGAATACAATATGTATATTTGTACGTGCAGACATGTACATACCTTCAGCATTGGTTCTCAATCATGTTTTCATGTTAAGATGTAAATACAGTGAAAGCTGCCAGTATATGAGGGCCCTGCTGGACTCCCCTTTGCTCTTTGTCCCATGCATTCAACATACCAAAATACACAGGATGGCCTGCAAACATCCAGGCAAGCTAGGTTTAGAGTTTTCTATATTTTGTTGTTGCAATGTGAACTAGTTGTTTAGATTTGTGCACCCTAGACATCGCATCTCATGCCTGGAATCACAATAAGAGCTGTAGCTAGAGTCTGGGGAGGGAGAGAAGAGAAGGAGGGAGGAAGGGAGGGAGGGAAGGAGGGAGGGAGGGAGGGAGGGAGGGAGGGAGGAAGGGAGGGAGGGAGGGAGGAAGGGAGGGAGGGAGGGAGGAAGGAAGGAAGGAAGGAAGGAAGGAAGGAAGGAAGGAAGGAAGGAAGGAAGGAAGGAAGGAAGGAATCTCAGAGAGCGATGGGTGGTTGTTTACCATCCAGAAGTGATGCTGGGTGGGCAAGGAAATGAAACTCGGGGAATCCACCTAAAGCTTTCACTATTTTGTCCCACATTACAACAGGAAGGACAGCACCAGCCACATTATTCCAGTGCAGGGACTGGAAAATGTTATGCCAGCAAGTTGGGCAATGTTGTGCTTCAGGATTTAATGGTCATGGTCTACTCTAGGCTACAGATGTCCTGACATATTGCTGGCAACTGTGCATCTTCAGAGGCAACATATTGAGCAAGAATTGACTGAGCTCCTGTCTTTATAGCTAGGTAACCTGCTTGGATCTTTAGCTGAGCTGATTTCTGATTGGTGCAGAGTCACTGAACCCTAAAAGGCAATAGTGCCCAACAGATACTGGCCATGGAAGCCTACATATTATGCCAGTGTGATTTTCTGTCATTAAGAGACTGGTGAAGAAAACTTTCATATGGCCAATTGGATATGACCTAAGATAGAAAGATTTTCAGAAAGCCAAAGGGGAAGTAATCTGAGAGGAGAGGATGGAAGTGCCATATGTAGGGACAATAGTCCACTTGAATGTCCCTCCTGACTGCTGCATGGAGAATGAAAACCAGGTTTCACCTACAAACAGGCTATTCCAAAAACTGTCCCTTGTGGAGTCTGATGTGTCTAAGCTTGCATATATAGCACTGGTTGCGTTGGCCCTGCAGTATGTAGGCATTCCTTCATTACTTCCAAAGTTTTCTTGTTATGTATCAGTCTGGAATATAGCACCAAACCTCTGGGTTTCCCGATTCATTCATATACTATAAAAATGCCTAAAGTCTGGCAGATTTCCAGAAAGAAATAACCATCCTTAAAAATTAGCTAAGCACCATGCAGATGTGTTTTGTTGTTAACATTTTTTAACATATTCATATGTGCTAAGATATGACAATGTACACAATGTACACAAACAGGAACAAGCAAAATCAACTTCGAGTATGTGTGTGTGTTTTCCCATCCTCCTCTGGGGCCTAGAAGAGAGCTTTGGAAGTCTTAACATACATTTACAATGGATCAAAGCTGTGATCAACATTAATGATGGCTTGTTTAAATTAGTGAGCTTCCAATTTCAATTTGAATGTTATCACTAGTTTGAAATTATGGCTACTTATGTCAAAAGTTGATCCAGATAATAAACTAGGTTTCCACAAGTGAGGCTCTCTCCCAATGTGTAGGCTTTAACTCCTAGAACTCCAGACTATTCATAGCTCCTGATAAACATAGGATGAGAATCTGGCTCAAATGGAAGCGATAGAAATCTTCACTTTTAGTCAAATGGGAGGAGAAATGGACAGGACTTACAATGAAGATTCATTGAGTCTCAACACTGCTTATTTTACGCCATAAAATGTAATACTTATGTAGTCAGAAGTTGTGTTTGGACATTGGTTGTAGGTGCTCTCTCACTAGAGGTCTAAAAAAAAAATACTGCTCAACTACTTGACTGGGATGGTATGAGACTGCTGCCTTGAGTTGGGGTTGGATGTATCAAACTGCCGGTCCGCAGGCCAGATGCGTCATCCAGAAACCACGCCCACCCCATTGCCGGCAATGGCAAAACTGTCCCGATATGTCTCGTGATGTCACATGACATCACAAGTTTGAGATGTCTGGATTAAAAAATCTCTATGGTTTGTAGCAGCCCTTTGACTCTATTTTCTCTGAAATTATTTTAAGACAGTGTTTCTTAAACTTTTTGCGGGCAGGATCCCTTCCCACTTTTAAAAATTACGGAGGACTCCAAAAGATCTTTTTCTTGTATGGCTCTATTTATCAATATATGCTATATTACAAATTTAAATTGATGCATTCATAGAATATTTATTGAATGCTGAAAAAATAACAATATTGAATCCATTAGATATTAAATAAAGTATATTCGTGAAAAAACATTTTTAACAAATAAAAATTATAATGAGAAGAATGAGATTGTTTTAAACTTTTGAAAAAATTTTCGATAATGGGCAAATAATTTTGATTTTGCCGACCCCTGAAAAGGTCCCGGGGGAACTCCAAGACCCTTGGACCACATTTTTAGAAACATGCCTTTAAGACATAGATGAATGTACTTATCTTATTTGAGGTAGAGGCTGAAACCCAGGAAGCAGTAATTAGAACTGGACCCAGCATGATTATATTTAATGTTGAATAAAAATACATATGATTAATCTAACTGCAATATTTGAAATTCAGCCAGGTATTTAATCATTTCTCCTTTTGTATCATGATACAAATTATAATTTGCATCAAAGTTTTCATCAGCCTCAGATTGTATATTTCTGTCAGAAATTATACATTACAAATTAGAAGACTTCATTCATATAGAATGAGCCAAAAATGAAGAAACCACATTATAAGTTAGTATTATATATACACACATTCTTTGAGTCCATATATGGAATTTGAAACAATGTTGCTAATGCTACTCTTTTGAGAGCATTTTGGGATTTGTCTGTATTTAGAGAGAACAAATTATGCCATTGTGTTGTTTCTTTACGTTTAAATAGAGCTTCCTTCCTACTGTGCAAAGCAAGCAAGTTTCATGTAATCACGCTGCCAGCCTTGTTCTTAGAAGAAACAGATTATTTTTAAAAATAGGGCTGCTTGCCAATCAAAAAGGTAACCTCATTATCTTATTTTCCCATATATGGAACTCTTAGACTACGGTAGGAAAGGAAGGGTTATGATATACAGGGTTGCAATTTGAAACAGTTTTTCTGAACCTTGACGTGAATTTAAACAACTGTGTCTCAGAGAGAGAAAAATGTCTTTCAAATGTTCTAACCTACAATCTGTGTTTAAATCAAGTCCACTTCTCAGTTTTTTGTTTTGATTTCTTCTATATACATATAACAACCAGTTATTTAATGACTGTTTGAAGTTGCAATGACATTGGAAAAAAAAAGTAACTTTCAACTAGTCCTCGCACTTATGATCATCCTCACGGTCAGATGATCAAAATTCGGGCACTTGGCAACCAGCAACTATTTACAATGGTTGCAGTGTGCAGGGATCACGTGATTGCCTCTTCACCCTTCCCAGTCAATATCTGGGAAACAAAAATCAGTGGGGGAAACTGGATGATTCACATAACAACTGCAGTGATTCTTTTAACAACCGTGGCAAACAAAGGGTGCAATTCACTTAATAACCTCTTTGTTTAGCAGTGGAAATGCTGGTCACAATTGTGGTTGTAAGACAAGTACTGGGTAAAAAAAAAACTCCCCTGGGGGAAAAGTGTAAGAAAAGGAAAATCCCCTTTGTTAACATAAAATGAAATGAAAGAGTACTTCATGATCTGTGCCAAATCAGTGCTTTTTTTCCAAAAAAAAAAAAAAAAAAAAAAGGTGCCGGAACTCACACACATCATACAACCCGCCTTGCCTACCCTACAAGGTTCCATCCAAAATAGGTGCCGGAACTCTGTTCTGGGCGTTCTATGACAAAAAAAGCCCTGGCCAAACTTATTATTATTATTTCATTCCAAACTGCTCTCTCTTCCTTGTTATATTGCTTGGAGGTCAGGGGGAATGCAATACTAGCAATAGTAGTAGTGGTAGTAGTAGTGGTAGTAGTAGTAACAACAACGATGATGATGATGTTTGCTTCTGAATTTTGCTTTGATCTAACTTTGGTATGGATTCGGTTTGAGCCTTCTGATATCTATGCTAAAGCAGCATGAATCAATATGGGAACAGACAGCACAGTGAGCATATCCATTTCAGTCTGCATAAC